GATCAGTGGTGGTAATGGTTATAAGATACAAATGACTTAAAGCCATTTAACTCTACTTAAAATGAGCCAAATAGACGGGCTCCACATACTCAGTTCACACGCAATCCTATGTTGAGTTTTGAATCTTAAGGCCCCATCCTTGAATAATAAGGGAAACACTTCCAGACTACAGAGGAAAGAGCTGTGACTACAGATCTCTAGGTCCTGCTGGCAGAAAGACTTGTAGACCATTCCCAGCACAGCTCCCCAGACAGCCTGACACAGCTGCTCTTGTACCAGTACTGAAAGCATCCCTGAGGGGAACATAGCCCACACACGGGGAGAATCCTTCTGCTCTGTTGGCTGGCAGAGTCTGGAGACATAGAGAAGACTCTGATGACCCACTGTGACTGTTCCCACTGTTTCAATAGATCACCGTATTACCCAAGAGGACACATTGCCCAATCCCCTTATGTCCTCACTGTGAGGAAACAGAGACTCAGAGAAATAAAGCTAGTCCCTCAGAGTCAACCTGCAGGTCAAAGTAGGGGTGTCATGTCTGTCCCCAGCAGGATGCTCCCCAAGATGGACTCCCCTGACACCTTGTTCTGTCAGCTCACAAGTGGCACGACCTTGGCAAAACTCTTGTCCAGCCTAGTGGCAGGAAAACAGCTCACCTTCTCACCTCACGGGCAGCTGTGAGGATCAGGAAGGGAATGCAGAGGGCTGGCTTTGTTCCCTTAAGATAGCAAGGCTCGGGGCTCCAGGATGGTTTGGCAGGAAAGTGCTTACCTGGCATGTATGAGGCCCAAGGTTCAATCTGCAGCACTAATAAGAAGTTAAGGGGCAGGGATGTGGTTCAGTTGGTAGACTGCTCTCCAGCCATGCATGAAGGCCCAAGTTCAGCCTACAGCCCTGCACACACTGGGCATGGTGGCTGCAATCCCAGAATTTAGGAGATGGAGGCAAGAGGATCAGGATTTAGAGGTCATCCTCAACTACAAAGAGACTCTGAGACAGACGTGCCTGGGCTACCTGAGTTTGTTTGTTTGTTTGTTTTGAGACAGGCTCTCACTATGTAGCTCAGGCTGTCCTGAAACTCACTATGTAGACCAGGCTGGCCTCCAACTCACAGAGATCTGCCTGCCTCTGCCTTCCGAGTGCTGGGATTAAAGATGTGCGCCACTATGGCCAGTACATTATCTTTGGACTTACGGGAATTAAATAACTTTGCTTGCCTGCCAGGTGGTGGTGCCCAGCACTCTGGGAGGCTGAGGTGGGCGGATCTTTGTGAGTTCGAGGCCAACTTGGTCTACAGAGTTAGTTCCAGGACAACCTTGGCTATACAGAGAAACCCTGTCTCAAATAATAATAATAATAATAATAATAATAATAATAATAGTAATAATAGTAATAATAACAATGTAAAGAAAATAACTTTGCTCTGATGGGCTGGAAAGGTTGCTCAATGGTTATTGTTCTTCCAGAGGACCTGTGTTCAGTCCCCAGCATCCACATCAGGGGATACGGCACCTTTTTCTGACTTCCATGGGCACCTTCATGTTTCTTCTGAGACAGGGCACAGATGAGCAATTGATAATGAGACAAGCAAAGCTAAGGGCTTGTTGGTTACCTCGTAGGTCTAGTCCTTGGACCTGAAAGCCAAAGACTCTCGGCAGGAACTGGGGAGGAACTCGTCCACTCACTCATTCCATGTACTCAAAAACTAAGTGATTCTAGTCCTAGAACTGTATGGAGATGAGTAGGACATGGTCCTGCCTTTAAGATCCTTACAGGCGGGGCTGGAGAGATGGCTCAGAGGTTAAGAGCACTGACTGCTCTTCCAGAGGTCCTGAGTTCAACTCCCAGCACTCACATGGTGGCTCACAACTATCATTCTGTAATGAGATCTGGTGCCCTCTTCTGGAGTGCAGGCATACATGCAGACAGAACACTGTATACATAATAAATAAATAAATATTAAAGAAAAAAAAAAGAACCTTACAGGTAGCTCTGGGGAGATTGCTTGGCTGTTCAGAGCACTCGAGGCTCTTCTAAAGGACCAGAGTTCTGTTCCTAGCATCCACATGGTGGCTTCTGACTGTAACTCTAGTTCTAAGGGACCTGGCACCCTCTTCTGGCCTCCCTGGCACAAGGCACACATGCAGTGCACATACACACTCAGGAAAGATACTTATACACACAAAATGCAAACAAATAAATCTTTTTTTTTAAAGTAAAGGTGGCTACAGCCTGCAGACACAGATGAAACTGTAATGTGGTGATGTCTATATTGAAGAGAGGCCCTGGATCCTGGGAGCTGCCTAGCACGGGATGGTGGGTGTGGGAGAGCATCAAAGTACCTAAGATGTGCCAGGCATGGTGGCACGTACCTTTAATCCCAGCACTCAGGGGACAGAGGTAAAGGGATCTCTGTGAGTTCGAAGCCAGCCTTATCTACCTAGAGAGTTCCAAGTCGGCCAGGGCTACCCAATGAGCTCCTGTTTCAGAAACAAAGAACCCCAAGGTGGTTGCCAAAGAATGAGGGCTTTCTAAGGGGTACCCTGAACGCTGTGCGCAAACCAGTAAGGTCCCTTGCATGCGTGTAGGACTGCAATGGGACAGTGGAGAGAATGGGTAAGGAATGCTGGGAATGCCAAGGCAGACTCTCTGGTCCTCCTCACACACACCCTACACACACACACACACACACACACACACACACACACACACACACACACACCATCCTCTTCTGGACTCTCTGGTCCTCCTCACACACACCCTACACACACACACACACACACACACACACACACACACCCCATCCTCTTCTGGCCACCACTTTGATCGTCACAGCCGCGTGCTCCCTTAACTTCCCCCTGAGATTGCGTTTCCCTCCTGCTGTCCCCTCACCAGCGCCCCTCGTCTGACAGCTCAGGCCGAGCTCCGTCAGAGGCTGTCCCAGCCCATCTGTCAGCGTGTGACGAGTACACCCTGAGCTCAGACCCTTCTTGACCAGGTATGTGGCGCCCCCTGCTGGAAGGCCCCGTCCAACCCTGAAGTTAGGGTTTCAAGGCCCTGGAGGCGGAGCGCTAAGTAAGTAGGGCACGGAAAAGGTGGGGAGACCTGGAAAAACCAAGAGCGAAAAGGAAAGCGCAGGGCTGGAGGGCTGACATCCCCTGAGATGGTTAGGGGAGGTTGACTGGAGTCCTGAGAAGGCTCTCTGGGGGGCTGGAGGCAACGGAAGTCATGCCCCCTAAGGAGTCTTTCTTTCTTTTTAAAGATTTATTTATATTATGCACAGTGTTCTGCCTGCATATATGCCTGCAAGCCAGAAGAGGGCGCCAGATCTCATTACAGACGGTTGTGAGCCACCATGTGGTTGCTGGGACTTGAACTCAGGACCTCTGGAGGAGCAGCCAGTGCTCTTAACCTCTGAGGCACCTCTCCAGGCCCCCTTAGTGATTATTTCAGTCTCCAAACTACTGTGCCTCCACGACCACCGCTACAGTCCCTAACACAATCTTTGGATCCCGGACCCCAGCTTCTCTTAGAGAGGCTGGAAAAGTTAGCGGGCTGCCCAGGGACCCAGGCAAGATAAGTATAGGGTGTGGAGAACATGATATGGAAAGGGGCAATAATTATACAGTAAGGGCCTCTCGGGAGCCGTAGGGTTTGTGGGCTGAGGCCTTGGAAGGATCCACTCCTTCAACATACCACCTCAGCCACAAAAAGCCTCTCCACATCCCCAGAGGCCTATACTACACGGGCAAGAGAGTAGGGAGCTAGGCCTCCAGGGACGCCCTCTCCCCTGAGCTACATACATAATTCAACCATGCCATCCCTCCCCACCCACCCCAAGAAAGCCAAGTGCCAAGGAAAAAAGCCGCTAACTCCCCCAATAAAGCCTCTGAGGGCAAAAAGTGAGAGGAGATAGGCGTAGGCAATCCTGTTACCACCATACCTCCATGCCCTGACCTCACCTAACCTCAGAAGCTGAACAGGGTAGGCCCGGGTAGCACTTGGATGGAAAGACTGGGAAAAATCTCTCAAAGGAGGCAGAAGGCGGGGAGGGGTGCTGCAGGACTGGGAAGCAGAATAGTCCTCCATCCCCGCAGCAGCCCCTCTGAGCACAGCCTTGGCCTCGAACACAGGGCTGGGAAGCAGAATAGTCCTCCATCCCCGCAGCAGCCCCTCTGAGCACAGCCTTGGCCTCGAACACAGGGCTGGGAAGCAGAATAGTCCTCCATCCCCGCAGCAGCCCCTCTGAGCACAGCCTTGACCTCGAACACTGGCGACGGAATCCCCGGGGCAGAAGTTCTTGTTTCTAAGGTTGTTAACAGACCGCACACCCTCAGACGCACTTCCGTCCCTCCGCCAGGTCCCGCCCCTTGGTACATGCCTCCTTCTCACCGGCAGCTCACCACCTTCAAACTTAAACACCAGCCTCAAGCCCCTGCCCACGTTTGCTATGAACCAGTCAGGACCTTGAAGGGGGCGGGCCTGAAGGTTGCCTGGGTAACGCTAGGAGAAGGGGGGCACCCCTAGGAGGAAGGCAGTTACCAGGGAGACCAGGACAGTGGGCTGGGACCCAAGCCAAGGTTGGCACATACTGGGATAAGCAAAGGGTGGGTGGGTTGTTAGGTTAGTCGGTCGGTTGGCTAGTTGCTTGCTTGGTTGGTTGGTTGGTTAGTTGGTTGGAGACAAGGTCTCTCTGGATAGCCTGGGCTGACCTTGACTTACAGCAATCATCCTGCCTCAGCCTCACGACTATTCAGGTTACAGGCATGCGCTTTTACCCCAGCCAAGCAAAAGTCTTATTGTTCCTCTCTGTTCCAACTCCTTTCCTATGAAGCAACCAGCGGCCCCTCCTCATAACCGGGTCTGGGGCACCCGGAGTGCTGACGCTCTGAAAGGAAACCCAAGCGATCCTGCACCTGAAAAGAATCCTAAGGGACCAGGCCTGAGAAGTCAAGGAAAGAGGTGATTCCACGGGGGATTGGAGAAGGGACAAGGCTTACTGTATTTCAGAACTTGGGTTGACGGTGGTGTTCACCGGTCCAGCGTTGCCTCCCACTCCTAGGTTCCAGGTTGAGGAAAGGCACTTCCGGACTTGAAGTCTAAAGGGCAAAATAGAATACCACCGGGCTGACACTTCATATGACTCCACCAGAGGGCAGGATTGTCCGCTTAATGAATTACCTCTAGTCCCCGCGGCGGCGCGGTAATCTGTCTGGCAGATTGTTCCTGCCTCCTTGGTTACTTGGCCCACAACAACCCGTTATGGACACAAATACACAGTTTTCTCCACCCCACACCCAGCTCTAACCAGGTTCCCTTAGTAAGGTTCATGCAACCTTTTGATCGGAGCAGCTAAGGAATACATTAGTGAAAAGGGTCCTGCCCTGCTGGGTGTCACAGTGTGAGGGTTACAAGCAGAATCAAGAGGTGATGACTGACACTGTTTGAATTGTGCGACAGACCTTTAATCCTCACAACGTTTCAAAAAATAGCTGTAGTATTGTATTCCCCTCTTACAAAGAAGAACTCTAAGGTGTAAAGGGGTTCAGTAACTTGGGCTGGCAAGATGGCTCAGCAGGTAAAGGCACTTGCCACCAAGCCCAGGGACCCACATGGTGGAAAGAGAGAACTTACCCCAGAAATTTACTGTGCTCCCTTCACTCTCGTGTACACTTGAGCTCACACTTGAGGGCTCACACATGCATGCACACACACACACACACACACACACACACACACACACACACACACTTATTCAAGTTCACATAACCAGAAAGGGAGGTTGCTTAGATACAGGCAGCCTAGTTCTAGCAGAGAAGCTAGAGTAAGGAAAGGACTCCTGAACGATTTAATCTCAAAATCTCATCTATACTGAGACCTAATAAAAGAGTTACTTTGGCCAAGAGATTTGGAGAGTGGAAGTTGTGTGCTAGGGATCAGGCTTTGACAGGCTAAGTGCACACACACCACACTGAGCTCCTGAGCTCCAGCTGAGTTGTCCTAAGGAGACAGTTCTTCCTGGGACGATAAGACTGGAAAGCTACACCCGGGTATGTAGTCTGGGTGACTGACATTCATTAAGCGAAGCCTGCAGGATAGGGCACATCTGAGGGGAGAGGACTTCTCCTCTTGATCTGTGATGTCTGAGGTGCCTCAGGTTCTCTGGACTATTATGCACCTAATGTCTGCTGCTTGGAGGGAAGGGCTGGCTGGGTCTTAGCATCTCACTTGTCTTTGCATCTTCCACATTGGACAAGAGCATGAAAGCTGTGTTCTCTAAAGAAACAGAAAAAGGAGACACCATTTCTGCTCTCATGGGGTTGGCAGGGTGTTGTTGGTTTGTTTTGTTTTTGTTTTTGTATTTTCAGAGACAGGGCCTCACTATGTCACCTTGCAGTCCTAGAACTCTCTATATAGACCAGGCTGACCTCAGACTCACAGATATCTGTCTGCCTCTGCCTCCCAAGTACTAGGGTAAAGGTATGAGCCACCATGCCCAGTTCACAATATTTTACAGGTTTTAATTCCAGAGAGGAAAGTTTATACATTTTATATTTCCTTAATTTTTTTTTCGAGACATGCCTTCCTACTGAAGTTTATACATTTTGATCAGTGAACATTTTGTGAGATGGCAAACATTTTCAGTTTGCTAAGGGATCTCCAGAGACACGGGTCCAAGAGCTCTCTGAAGGCTGAGGCAGGAAGATAACTGAGTGTGAGGCCAGCCTGGGATGCATTTGAGACTCTGTCTTGAAGAAGAAAGGGAGGATAGGGAAAAGGGTTTAGGGGAGGTGGAGAGGGAAGAGAAAGAGAAACTGAGGTCCGGGAAAAGGTAACCAGTGTAAGAGACCCCCTTGAACCCATTTTATCACTTGGCATTCCTTCTTCACACCTGAAGACTGAGGCTGGCCCCACACCTGAGCTGCCCCCCTGTAGCTTGCTGCCTCCACGTCAGGCATCTAAACATAGACCTCTCTCGCACCCTTATGCCTTAAACTTCAAGCTCTTATTCAGACATGTAAGACCCTGCGAACAAAGGCATGGCTGGGAACGCAGGGGTCCAAACTCCAGGCACCACTTTCAAGCCCCGTCTCATCCGGCTCTTTCCCCCATGGCTGCACCCTTCCCAGCCCGATCGCTCCCTTTGTTCCATTAAACCTCAATTTCAAGCTCACGGGCCTCCTAGCTAGTTTTCTTCCGGTCTCAGTACTTGCCATCACCTCCCCAACTTCTCAGCGTGTTCCCGGCCTCTTCCTCTCCTAACTTCCTTGAGACCTATGATAAGCCGGCCTGGTGTTTCACTTGACGGCTTCTTTAAACATCCTGGGCTACCTCAAGTAGCCGAGGCTATTCTTCACATCCCCATCTCCCCCCGCCCCCCCGGGTGTCTCTCCGTTCCTCCTTCCTTCGGGAGACTCGCGCCTTCTGCTCTTTTCCCTGCACCTGATCCCGGGGGGCTCTCGGAGCTCTCTGCCCGTGTCTGCCAGCTCCCCTGCCCGCCTCTCCCGCTCTCCCCCGCTCCGCTCGGCTCCGTCGATGATCCCGGTTAGCCGCCCCTCTGTGCGGTCTACCTTTGTCTCTGACTCTGTCTGCGCCAACTGTCCCGCTAGTTTTCCGTCTTTCTCTCCCCTCGGCGACTTCTCTTCTCTTTTGTCTCTCCTCTTCCCTTCCTCTCTGGGTCTCTCTGGGTCTGCCTCTTCCCCCACCCCCAACCCCACTCCTCGCTCCGTCTGTCCCCGGTCTCTCTGCCTCGGTCCCTCCCGACTCCCCCTCCCCCTCATCCCTCGCTCGGTCTCTTCATCTTTCTCTGGGCCCGTGCTCTCTCGCTCCCTCCCTCTCTCTCTCTCTCTCTCTCTCTCTCTCTCTCTCTTTTCCTCGGCTCTCTCCGGCTCCCTCTCTCGCCTCGGATGACAGCGCTACCTCTTTTGTTGGCTCCGCAGCCAATCGCGGCCGCTGACGACACGGGGGCCGGGGCTATAAAGGGCCCGGCCCGGGCTCGGGCCCCCCCAGCCGCCCGCCCCGGCCGCCCGCCCGCCCGCCCCGCCCGTGCGCCCCGCCGCCCCCGGCCCCCGGCCCCCCCCTCGGCCGGGCAGCCCCCAATCCCGCGCCGCCCGGACCCCCTCCTCCTCCTCCTCCTCCCTCTTCCCTCCGCCCCCTCCCCGCGGGACTCCGGCGTCCCCGCCCCCCAGTCCTCCTCCCCTCCCCTGCAGCATGGTGCTCGCGGCCCCGCTGCTGCTGGGCTTCCTGCTCCTCGCCCTGGAGCTGCGGCCCCGGGGGGAGGCGGCCGAGGGCCCCGCGGCGGCGGCGGCGGCGGCAGCGGCGGCGGCGGCGGCGGCCGGGGGTCGGGGGGGAGCGCTCGAGCGGGCCGGCCGCGTCCGCGGCGCCGGAGCCGGACGGCTGCCCCGTCTGCTTGTGGCGGCAGCACAGCCGCGAGCTGCGCCTGGAGAGCATCAAGTCGCAGATCCTGAGCAAACTGCGGCTCAAGGAGGCGCCCAACATCAGCCGGGAGGTGGTGAAGCAGCTGCTGCCTAAGGCGCCGCCGCTGCAGCAGATCCTGGATCTGCACGACTTCCAAGGCGACGCGCTGCAGCCCGAGGACTTCTTGGAAGAGGACGAGTACCACGCTACCACCGAGACGGTCATAAGCATGGCCCAAGAGAGTAAGTGGGCTGCGGGGTGCGCGCGGTGCGGTCCAATCTCGGGAAGGACCCGGAAGCCCTTTCTGCAAAAACTTGACGGATTGGGGAGTCTGGCCACTCCACACAACTTTTTCGAGCAGTGAAGATGGGCAGCGGAGTTGAGTGCACGCCCCGTTGGGGAGGGGGGTGGCACGTTGGGGGGAGGGCGGCCAAACCGGGCAGGTTGTGAGATAGTGCTTCCCACCCCTTGTGCGGAAAAAGATTCAAGTTGAAGTGGTCCAGAAACTGGCACCCAACAGTGACTCTCCTTGCAGCGCTAGGCGGGGAGATTCCGTGACTCGTGCAGTCAGTCCCAGCTGGGCCGCAGTGCCATCTGCCCATTGCTTTGGCACCAGCTCCAACTCCTACCTAGGGCTCCGTGAGGCGCCCACCAGGCTGCGGAGAACTGAGGTTCCTCTAACCGCACAGGCATAGGACCCAAACCTGGTGTCCCTCCGACTGACACCTTTCCTCTCTGCACCTGATCTCGCTCGCACTGGGCATCCCCTAAGAGCTTGAAGAGCTTTTCCCTCTTGTACAGAAAGAGTTCGAGCAACTCAACTCCACTGCGCTTGCGACTTAATGAGTATCATTTGGTTACTCCCACCTTAGTGTTCTGTCCCGTATCCCTGTCCTACCCACGGCTGGAGCCAGAGAAGACCCAGGGAGAAAGAACTAGATGGGGGGATGGGAGAACCCAGGCATCCGAGCCCCTGGCCAAACGGAGGATGAACACTCTAATAGACATGAGCTGCTTTGAAATTTTATGGCCTGGAAAATCCAGGCCAATACTACCACCCCCACTGCCTGCTCTCCCCAGGGTCAGGTGACTCCCTCCTCCCCTCCCCCACTGACTGTCGTGTGTGTGTGTGTGTGTGTGTGTGTGTGTGTGTGTGTGTGTGTGTCCCCAACTCCAGGGAACCAGGCTTTCTCTATTCCCTAGTGGTTTGGCAAGCCCCCTCCTTTGGTTTTTATGACTCTGAACAGAAGGGGGGGGAGAGACTGGTTTATTGGCAGATGGGTCATAAAAAGCTGGGGGCTGCGGGAAATCCTAGTAGCCCACCCCCAATGGTAGAGGTACAGGAACCCAGGTGTGCATCTGGAAGGTTGAGTGCCTGGCACTACCACCCAGTTTCTGCAGAATTCAACTCCAACTTAGTCAGGCTTGTAAAGAAAACTCTGAGAACCAGAAAACTCTCTCTCTCTCTGGTGTGTGTGTGTGTGTGTGTGTGTGTGTGTGTGTGTGTGTGTGTGTGTGTAGGCATGGGGATCTGATCTTGGGTTCTCAGTCTCCCTTGTTCTTAATGCTTCTACTTTTGGAAACCATAGTCAGTCTGAGATTGCTAGAGGCAGGGATGGGGAAAGGATTCTATCTAGAAAACAGTTGTAGAGAAATTATGAATGACCTAAAATTTTCTTATTCTGGTCTGTGTGGTGTAAAGTGTGTATTTCCAGGGTGAGTGACCGAGCTGTGGGCTTCCCGTTGCCCTTCACTATTCCTAGCATCCCTTAACCAAAAGGCTTGAGCCCAGAATTAACTCTGGTAGTGGGGAGCAGCAGAAGTGCAGGGAATGAATGCCTGAATTGGGCAGTGGAGGTGAGCCCGGGGGTGGGATACCGGGGGGTGGGAGCGCACCAGTAGCTGAGGCTGGGGTTTCACCCTAACTGCCATTTTAGTACCACTCCAGGACTTTAGGTAATCCAGGAACTGGGTTTCAAAACCAGGTATTGTACTTCCCCTTTAAGAGTCTAGCTGCGACCTTAAGAGAGGGAGGGGGAGCTGAGGGGAGGGGAGGGAGAGAGAGAGGGGAAAAGGAAAAAGAGACTTTTATAGTCTAATCCCCAGGGACCCGCTTTAATAAGAGACTTGTGCTCTGCTAATCGGGGGAGGTGTTTGTCAGCAGAGATGGCCTCTGCTCCCCTCCCCCTGCCTCCCCTCCCCCAGCCAACCCCGGACCCCAGCCCCCACCTTTCCTAGGCTGTTCTGCCTGCCCTAGTTCCCTCTACCCTCTCACTCTCCCACCCTAGCCTGCATCCCTGGGAACCCAGCCCCCTGCTCTTCTGGGAGCCAAGCCCAGCCCCTCAGTTTGTCTCCTGTGCTCACTAAGAGGCCCCTGCCCTCTCGCCCAACCTCCTGCCCCTGGGCCATCCAGCCTGAGTTGGGAGAGGGTGTGTGGTGGGGTGGAGGCTGTAGGCAGAGAGGGGGTTGGGCCTTTGCTGAAAATAGTGCAATGACCTCTCTCCCCCATCAGCACCGCCTACTAAACCTGACCTGCCGCCTGCCACCAACCAAATCAATCCAACACAGATGTGGCCCCTTCCCCTCCCCACTAGAGCTGGGCGAAATGGGTGTTGGGGACTCTCCAGTCCTTTCCTCTGTGGCTTTACCTGCTCCTTTGTTCCTTCTGCACCTCACCATCTCCACCCCAGGAGGCTTGACTCTCCTACCTTTGCCCTCTTAACCCCTGCCCACTCCAGCCTAGCCCACCCAGCCTCCCACTTCCCAAACATTTCCTCTCCTTAGTGCGACCCCACTCTGTTCCTCTGCTGATCTCCTCTAACCTGCCTTCTTCATTCTTACCTTATCTTCTCCAACTTCTTCCCCACATCTTGTTCCTTAGGAACACTGTCTGCACATACACAGAGACATATATGTGGATTCCCTGTGGTAGAAAAGAGAGGAACCCTTGTCCAAAGGAACCAGGCTTAAGAGGGTATCCTATTGCCTTGTCTCAGCTTTAAGTGGGCTGCTTAGTTTATAAAATGAACATTTATTCATTATAAAATCATAATAATAAGCTATTATTTTCCACACTATTTAACGCACAGAATTATCTGTATCACACCGGGAAGTATGGTCAGTAAGGTTAGATAGTGGGCAACAAGCCAGGCAATGGGTAAACTTACTTTGGTTGCTGCCAGAGAAGAGTCTGGGAAGAACCTGCCATTCAACATAATTTACTGCTTGACATTATGGGACACACAGAAACTACCATGACGACAAAACAGTCTCAAGACAAGTATAAACTTTCAGAGAGATAAGAACCTAACGACAAGAAACAGATGGTTCTAGCTGGACCTGGTGGCACTGCATGTAATCCCAGCTACTCAGGAGATTGAGGCAGGAATTTCTGAAGTTCAAAGCCAGCCTGGGCAACTCTGTCTCAAAATAGAGACCGGGAATGTAGCTCAGTGGTAGAGTGCTTGCCTAGCAGGTGTGAGGCCCTGGGTTTGCTCCCCAGTAATACACACACACACACACACACACACATGCACATGCACCGCACACACCACATGCACGCATGCACAAATAATCTATGCTCCAATTAGATGTGATATGCCTTTGGACTCTGATCTCTTCAGTATCTTTCCTGCCCCAAACTGTCCTCCTAATCTTATCCCTACTCTACGTCAAGAGAGAATATCAGAACACTGGGATCTTGGAAGAACAAAAGGAGAGGTGCTACAGGACATGGTGTGTCATGTTCTGAGGCTATAGTCATTAAGTACTTTCTCCCTCACCACATTTGGAGAACCCTCCTCCTGGGGTGATGGGGAGCTAACCAGAGACAACAGATTGTGCAGGTGGTAATGCTGGGTGTGACAGGCAAGGGCCTAGACATCGTCACCACACTTCCATGGCTCTGGAAAAACCTCATACCATTCTTCCTGCCTACAGTGAGAATGGACATACCTGTCCAAAGGCTACATGATCTAGGGCATCTCTAACACACTTAGGAGGTCAGGAAGAGCTAGGCATCATGGCACAGGAAGACTGTTGTTAGCTGAGGCCAGCATGGGCCACTTAGTTCCAGAGAAGCCAAGGACACAAAACAAAGCTGCCTCGAAACAACAAAGACTGAAAAGAGTTTAAGGAAAAATGAGAGGAGCTGGAATAGAAGGGAAGGGAGATATCGAGACCTAGCTGGGCGGTGGTGGCGCACACCTTTGATCCCAGCACTTGGGAGGCAGAGGCAGACAGATCTCTGTGAGTTCAAGGCCAGCCTGGGCTACAGAGTGAGATCCAGGACAGGCTCCAAAGCTACACAGAGAAACCCTGTCTTGAAAAAAAAAAAAAAAGATGGCTGCTTACAGTTGACTTGGTGTGTTAAGTATTATTTCTGATGCTCTGGGCAAGTGGGACACTCCATAGTTTTTCCTTCTCTCAAAAGCCGAGATGAGTATCTCTGCTGGCAGCAGTAGAAACACAGGAAATGGTTGGTCGTTCCATTCTGTAAGATACGCTGTTGGGAATAAGGAGCCTAGATCTGAATTCTGGTTTACTTTATAAATTTAGCCCACACTCCATCTCTTTGAACCTTGGGCTGTTTCCTCTGATGCCTCCTTTGCTTTTTGGGGGGTGGGCTGCCAGGCTCCACCTCCTCACTAGACAAACCAGGGCAGAAATGGGGCAAAGTAACTTGAGGGCAGCAGGTACAGTAAGAGATACAGCTTCTATGAAGAACACTAAAGATCGGAAAAGGCTAGAGGCAGAGAAGGCTTCGGAGACTCAGTAACTACCTTAGCAGGTCATTTGGTCGGTGGATCCTCTGTGCTGGGAGAAATGGTATAGGGAAAGGGTATTGATCAGTAAGTAAACAAATTTATCATCCTAGAGATGAGATGATTTTAGGTACCAGAGACATAGTAGACAACAAGACACAGAAGGGTGAAGAAGAACTGGAAAACAGGCTGAGAAGAATCTGCTAAAGCCACCCAGGGCTGCTAAACCCCTCTGCAAACACCCTTTGCTGACGCTGTGCCCCCTTCTCTCTCATCAGCGGACCCTGCAGTGCAGACAGATGGCAGCCCTCTCTGTTGCCATTTCCACTTCAGCCCCAAGGTGATGTTCACAAAGGTCCTCAAGGCCCAGCTGTGGGTGTACCTTCGGCCTGTGCCCCGCCCAGCCACAGTCTACCTGCAGATCTTGCGACTGAAACCCCTAACTGGGGAAGGGACCGCAGGGGGAGGGGGTGGAGGCCGGCGGCACATCCGCATCCGTTCACTGAAGATCGAGCTGCACTCGCGGTCCGGCCACTGGCAGAGCATCGACTTCAAGCAAGTACTACACAGCTGGTTTCGGCAGCCGCAGAGCAACTGGGGCGTGGAGATCAACGCCTTTGACCCCAGTGGTACAGACCTGGCTGTCACTTCCCTTGGGCCAGGAGCTGAGGGGCTGGTGAGCAGGGGGCCTGAAGTGGTGGTGGATATGTGTAACCTGTCCCCAGGAGATAGGGGTCAGAAAAAAAATCAGGAATGTGGAGGTGGGGCCAGGAACTAATTCCAGAGGAGGTGGAGGTGGGGTGGCAAACTATCACTTCTCAGGGATTAAGCCCTGTAACAGCTGAAAACTGAAACTGGATTGAGGTGAAGGTGTCAGTTAGTGGGAGACCCGTGGGAACACAAAACTGACCCTTGTCTGGGCGTGGTGTTATCTAATCCTAGCACTAGGGGGACCAGAGAGGAGGATCAGGAGTTCTAGACTATTTTCTGCTACATAGCAAATTTGAGGCCAGCCTGAGCTATGTGAGATCCCATCTCAAATCAAAACTAAACAACCTGGCCCTTGATGAGGCCCTGGGCCAAGGAACTGATGAGGTCACACTGCCAGGAAAGGAAGAATGAAGCAAAGTGAGCAGCAGAGCTAGCTGGATGGCAGAGAAGTGGGTAGATCTGTGGGTGGGGGCAGTGAGCCAGCGAAGATGTCAATGGTTTCTGATCTGATGCTCCTCTTGAGATGCAGGTAGGAAAGTAAGAGAAATTGTTCAGGGCTTTGTCACATCTCTTTCCCCTCTCCCTGACCCTCAGCATCCTTTCATGGAGCTTCGAGTCCTAGAGAACACAAAAAGGTCCCGGCGGAACCTAGGCCTGGACTGCGATGAACACTCCAGTGAGTCCCGCTGCTGCCGATACCCTCTCACGGTGGACTTTGAGGCTTTTGGCTGGGACTGGATCATCGCACCTAAGCGCTACAAGGCCAACTACTGCTCCGGCCAGTGCGAGTACATGTTCATGCAAAAGTATCCACACACCCACTTGGTGCAACAGGCCAACCCAAGAGGCTCTGCGGGGCCCTGCTGCACCCCTACCAAGATGTCCCCAATCAACATGCTCTACTTCAATGACAAGCAGCAGATTATCTACGGCAAGATCCCTGGCATGGTGGTGGATCGCTGTGGCTGCTCCTAAGGTGTGGGCTACAGTGGATGCCTCCCTCATAAACCCTACCCCAAGAACCCCGGCCCTGGTCCCCATTCCCCCAAACCCTAGAGCGCCCTCCACCTCTTCCCGTGAACATCACACCTTGTTCCCTGACCAAGCAGTGTGCAATACAACAGAGGGAGGCAGGTGGGGATGGAGGGTGAGGGGTTGGGAGGAAGGAAGGGCAGTCAGGGTGGAATGTATCTGAGATTTGCAGGTGAGAAGGTTTGGCAAGAAGACAGAGATGTAGAGACAGAGAGAGAAGACGGAAGGATGGAGACAGGAACAAATAGAGCAGCACTGAGAAGGCAAAGGAGTAGAGGCTAAAGACTAAGAGACTAGACAGAGACAGAGCAGAAAGACGGAAATGGGAGTACAATGAAAGCCCTGCCCCAAGCCTCCTTTTTCTACCAGCAAGGCGAGAGGCTTGGTACAGTTTGGGGAGTTCCCCTGACAACTCAGTAGGAGGAAATCAAAAGTCCATTCTCCGCTTCTTCCTTCTCCCCTTCCAGCAGTCGTCAGAAGTGGAGTGAGGATGGGGCAAAGGAAGGGCCTGGGAATTTTTTATTTATTTATTTATTGTGACTTTTCATTTTTTTGGTATTTGGCTTTACTGGAACGGGAGGGACCCTGCCCACTGCGCCCCATTGGTCCTTACTCCCCAAGCCCTGCTCTCCCCAATACCAACCTACTTAAGCACTTGTATTACGCCTCCAGGGTTGGGAATGGGGGTAAAGGGCAGGAGGGCTGACACATGGAAGCTTCTAACCCATAATCACCCTAACCAACCTTCTTGAGCCAAACGGGTTGAGCTGAGTGGTCATGGAAACAGAAAGTTCAGACTTAAGAGCCGGGGGGAAGGGAACCTCAACATCCAGAATCTATGAGAGCTACTAAACTACCCCTCAGGCCTACCTTATTCATGGTATTATTTAGCCAGAGGGTACAGCCTGCTTATCCCCAAATTCCCCTCAGCCAAGAGACCAAAGAGCCTGTGGAATGCCCCTGCTCTCAGCCTCTATCTTCAGGTCAATAAAAAGTAGAAATCCCAGAGTCCCCCAGGTCTGGGAAGGGTTAAGGGTCAAGAAAATAGTAAAGAGGCTGAAGGTTACAGGGCATCTGAATCCAAATCACTGCTCTAGGCTAGGGAATACAGCCAGCAGACCAAGGTGGAAGGGATTCTGAAGGGGGGACATTTTAGTCCCCCTACCCCAAAGCTCAGGGTGGAAGAAGGGAGAACAAGGGAGCAGAGTGTCTATAATTTTATCTTTTATTTTTGGAATATAGCAGTACCTGAAAGCAGGGAGGGGACAGTACAGGCATGTGACAAGGCCAGTTACAGCAGAGGATGGGAGGATGGAGAGTCCTTGGTTTGGAAGGCTTAGGAAGCAGGCAAGCAATTAGTTGCCACTTCAAGTCACTAACTGGGCCCATTCATTCCTCCCACAATCCTGATCCACCCTCCTCTGGACTCACTGTGCCTCAGTTCCTTCCCCTTGATGGAATGAGAAACAGCAGCACCCGCCACAGCCAAGAGATGAATTCTGAGCACTTACCACGGGCACTTTATGGACATAAAATACCTCTCGCTGTGGGACTAGATAACCAGGGCACCACAATGTGAGGCTTAAAGGAGTCACAGGCTTCAGAGCACAAGCACCCTCTGCCTCTCAGCTGGACAATGCCTGAAGCCAAGGAGCTGAAAATCTCCACACCCTAACCATACCTCACCAGTGGCCTCTTGGCTCCAGACAAGTCTTAAGAGGATGGGGGGAGAGGGGAGATTACAGCAAAATGATCACGTGTAGAGCCGGCCATTATGGTAGAAAAAGTACTGAACTGAAGCCTGGCCAGGAAGGTCTGTGCTTCCTAAGAGCATGTTTCTCTCACTTGGGCCAGACCATAGAAAGGACAAAGGTATGTGACTATCCTTGGCACCTAACTCCTATTCTCATAGTGAGAAAAGGAGGTAAGATGTCTCCTATGAGGAATGGACAAGGGTTAAGCCTTTCAACTCACTTCCCATGTAGCAGCTGTGAGTCCCAAGCCTCTCCTCTCTGGCCCTGTTCTTCATCCTCTTTTTCTACCCATCTTAAAGAACAAGACACATTTGACCATCAACACTAACCACACTTCCTTGGTGGAGGAGAGGAATAGAAAAGCAGAGAGAAGATGCTTTCCTCCAAGGTCAAATGCCTCTTAATCTTGGAAAAGGTAAGGAAGGGTCGGATAATTAGTTATCAGGTAAACTTCTCTACAGTTTAGAGAGCTGGGGCATTAAACTTCAAATATTGCCTCTTTATTACCACCAAGTAAATACCTTTCCAGGGGGAAGGGGTTCTCTTATGAATACAAACCTGAGTTAAGCCTCAGTTTCCTGGTCTTTCCTATCCCCTAAGAGGCTTGAGGACATGGCCTCGCAGTTGAGTAGGACCTGGTACTTCTCACACCTTACCTGCGTGGACTGGCCAGTCTCCTCTGGAAGTATCGTTACTAGTGTAATTCTTTCCTTGTGTATCTGTTACATCATGTGTGTGATTGCCTTTGTTTGTTAGGGTGTTTGAGGACAGGGGCTGACAGGGGCACTGGAATGCCAGGAAAGGACTTCTCCACTGAAACCAAGGTTTCCAGGAAGGAACCATTACAAAAAGGCCATCAGGCAGTTTTCAAGTTATGTGACAAAGGGCAAAGATGGCCATAGGGTGCTCTGAGTTTTGGGACGGTCACATGACACAATCCAGCACTTGAACCTGAAAAAAGAAAAATAAAAGCAGTCAAAGAGTTTAGAATTCAGTGGTGAGCTCTTCTCCCTAATTGAGGGTCACGTTTACACTGGGAGACTAAGAACTAAAGGATCTAAGAAAAGAACCTTTTTAAGAAAAAGAGGACTAAGAAGATGAGGACCATGGAGCAAGAAAGGAAACACTAAGGGTATGGGGAATGATGACTGGGACACACAGATAGAGGATGGACAGAGGCTGGGAAAGAGAGGACTTAAGGCTTAAATCAACCGGCAGCTCCCCATTGTAGTTAAGTGTTTCAAATGCTGAATCCACTATAAAAACTCCCACATGCCTACAGCACAATTCATAAGGCATCGGAGCCAGGGGTGGCAAAGTAATCTTGCTGGAGTCCCAGGACTCACTGAACCACTTGGCTCTCTCTGTCCCATTTATTCCATCAAAGCTTTCCTGCCAATGAGCTAGACTAAAGGGGCAATGCTTAGGCCTCTTCTCAGTCTCACCCACCTGCCGCCCCCGAAAGAACCCAGACTGCATAAACGGGTGCATTTACAAACACAAAGGCGCAGATTACTCCACTCACCACCTGACCCCCATCCTCTAGCTGGAACCTACTTGTGGTGGGGGTGAGTTTACCACTTATCCTAGATCTGTTTTTGCTTGGGTAAATTTCAGAGTTAATGCTCACAGAAACTACTATGTAAACTAATTAGGAATGTGTGCTTAAGCACATCATAACGTCATTTAATTAATACTGTAACCCTCACAGTAGTTTGCAAACAGTCACAGAGCAATTAAGTAGTAAGGTACAAGGAATCGGACCCAGGTAGTTAACACGCAATAATATGTTTTAATCTATTTAATCTGTTGTTAAATGATATGAGAGGCAGCAAACTGAATTCAGGGACAACACAAAGTGAGAAAGTTGAAAAACACTTTGGATCCAAAGGGTTGGCAGGGTACAGAACCTTTTCCAATGTCTTTCAAGAGAAAAACTAGTGAGCTCAGGGATGGGATGTAGCATGGCTGATAGAGTGCTTGCCTAGTGAATATGGAGTTCCTGCCCAGCACCACATAAAATAAGGCATACTGGCACAGGCATGTAATCCAAGCCCTACAGAGGGAGAAACAGAAAGATCCAGAAATTCAAGGTCACCCTCAGCTTGCTTCATAGCCCATTTGAGGCCAGCCTGGGCTATAAGAGACTTACCTCAAGAAGAAAACAAGAAAGGGATATTAGATTTTGGAGGGATTAATAAACAGAAAATAAGTGCCACTGTCTATCAGAGGCCTTGTATGAGAGAAGTTAAGAAAAACTTATCTGTGAGTTTGAGACCAACCAAAAAAAAAAAGAAAGAAACAAGAAAAAAATTATTCTAGCCAGGCAGAGTAGCACACGCCTTTAATCCCAGCACTCGGAAGGCAGAGGCAGGTAGATCTCTGAGTTCTTGGCCAGCCTGGTCTACAGAGTTCCAGGACAGCCAAGGCTACATAGAGAAACCCTGTATTGAAAAACCAGAGGGGAAAAAAGTCATCTTGTTTCAACTATCTGAATTCCCTCCTCCCTGTTTCTCATGTCAGACTAACACGTCTCAAAGACTCAAGAAATATTGCTCTTATACCTTCCTTCCTATAGCCGTCACCCCTAAAGTTTCTACCTCCAGCAGTTCTCAGAGATGGCAGAACCATCAAAAGGTACAACTGTACAGCTAAGGGAGCCAGCCCTCACTATGGCTAGCACAGATCCCTTAAGAACTTCTGGGGAATGTCGATGTATCAACCACAGAAGACTGGGAGATGAAGAACAGTGCTTGGGTCCCAAACCTAGATGTCTGTCTAGCCAAACAAAATGGACTTGGGTTCTAAAGACTAAATTAGTAAAAACATAGGCATTCTAATCTACTCACGCTCATTGTGTGGAATGACTAAAGGACACAGAAGAGGACGTTCAGGCTTAGAAGTTAAGAGAATCTTCTGACCATTGTATGAACAGCTAGAGAAACGGAACAAAAAGGGTTAATTAAAAGAGAAAAAAGAGCTGGGAGGTGGTGGCGCAGCCTTTAATCCCAGCACTCGGGAGGCAGAGCCAGGCGGATCTCCGTGAGTTCGAGGCCAGCCTGGGCTACGAAGTGAGTTCCAGGACAGGCGCAAAGCTACACAGAGAAACCCTGTCTCGAAAAACCAAAAAAAAAAAAGGGAAAAAAGAGCCAGGCAGTGGTGGTGCATGCCTTTAATCCCAGCACCTGGGAGGCAGAGCCAGACGGATCTCTGTGAGTTCAAGGCCAGTCTGGGCTACAGAGTGAGATCCAGGACAGGCACCAAAACTACACAGTGAAACCCTGTCTCAAAAAACAAAAAAAAAGCCCTGTGGAATAAGAAGAGGACCTGGGGCTAGTCAGTAACTGCCTACTGCTCAAGTATAAAGATCCTGAGTTTGGACTCCTAGTTCCCACATAAAAAGGCAGGTCCAGTAGCATTTGTCTATAATTCCAAAAATGGAGGTTAGAGACAGTAGATCCTTGGAAATTATTGGCTGGCCAGCCTAGCTAAGTCAATGAGTTCCAGATTCAGAAAGGGGCCCTGTCTCAATAAATCAAATGGTGAGAAACCTGATGTGGACTACCAGCTTCAACAGGCACACATACCTACCTATATGAACACATGTCTATGTCATACACACATAAAAGTAAAACCACAAAAAGACTCTTAGCCAGCCGTGGTAGTAATCCTAGCACTCAGGAGGCTGATGCTGAAGGATGCTGTGAATTCAGAAGCAGCCTGGACTACAAAGTGAGACACTGTCTCAAAAATGAGGGTGGATGAGAGCAGAAAGAACCCTAGGTTGAGTGGAGTATGTCTCTGCAAGGTTATGGAGGACAAAGAGATAAAGATCAGTGCTGGGTTGTGGAGTCTCACACCTTAATGAGGGGAGAGGGGCTCTCTGAGTTCAAGGCCAGCCTGGTCTACAGAACAAGTTCCAAGACATCCAGGGCTAAATGGAGAAACACTGTCTCAAAACAACAACAACAAAAAACAAAACAAAAAAAATCACATAGATACCAGGAATGACTTTAACATTGAGGAGGCAGAGGCAGGCAAATCTCTCTGAATTTGAGCCAGCCTGGTCTACAAAGGGAATTACAGGACAGCCAGGGCTACCTACATAGAGACATTCTGTCTCAAAAAACCAACGCCACATTGAAGGACCCCCACTGCTACATTCTATTATCAGCATCTACTTTATTCCTTCAATATTTATTTATTTATAATCATTCTGGGATACAAATACTAAAGAACCTATACTCTGTCTCCTAATACAAAACACCAATTCTCTGGTTTTCAGATGAAGACACTGTGGAGATGAAAAAAGTAACTGGAGGTTACAGTTTTGTGTAAAAAGGGGGGGGGTGGGGCTGACAGAAGAGAATGATGGGAAGAGAAACTCACCCAATTACATCATTGCTGTGGATGAGGTGATATAAGTTTAATCAACTTTTCCTTCTGTGTTCAGTTTTTCCAAGGTCTCAGAGGAGACTAATTTCACAATAAATGGCAAACTTTGCTCTGTTCACCACGGCACCATTGAAGTTCTCCTAAACCTTTCTAGCAGGCCTGAGTCTGCCCCAGGAGTGTTGTGATTACAGGCACACATCATGCTTTATGGCACAAGACTGCAATGTTAGAAAGGTTAACTTTCTATTAATCAAAAAACCAGCTGGTTTTGGTAGAAATAAGGACAAAGATTTACATCACAGCAACACAAGATTTAATTATGGTAGCAAAGTTTTCAACTAAAGTAACTTTTATGACCTTCCTAAAGAAATCTCCCAAACCAAGCATTTATTGATCCAGAAATACAGAGATTAAAATGAGAAACCCAAGCAGGTGTGGTGGTGTTTGCCCGTAATCACAGCTCTTAGAAGGCTAAGAAGGCTGAACCGATTCAAGGCCTCCTCCAGGTTGCAGTGAGATCTCTCTCAAAAACCAGGAGAAAAAAGAAGGGACATGAGGAGAGGACTTAACACATCGAAAAGGCTAAGGAGCAGGTTTCAGACTTACATGTAACTTAGAGAAACAAGCAGTCTGCTTAGTCAGCCAAACCTCTGCTAAGTAGGTGACTCAGAAAAAGAGAATGAATTTTAGTGACACCCACGACACGTTCCCACCACAGCTGCAATAGCACTCTGCAGCAGAAGAGGACCAAGGAGCACAGAGCCTGACTACAAAGTGCAGCCATAACGTGCTTACCCAGCAGATACATCCCTGTGTCTGACCCCACACTGGGATGGGGAGCAAAAACACCAGGCATCTTGTTCTACTTACATCCCAACAACCTAGGTAACAACACTTAGCATCTCTGACATCTGGTCTTGACTCAGGTGTCTATCCTTCTACCAAAGGAGTGGCCAGCCCAGTCACCTGCTTGAGCTATAACCACCAAGGTCCCACACGCTGACCTCTGCTCTAATCAGACAGTGCCATGCCAACCATCCTGGGAAACGGGGCCCTTTCATAATGGATTCTATTTTATCCAGTTAGGCTTCATTCAATGTCCCATATCTTATTCTTTACATTTCCTAAAATCTCCCACACTTTCTCCACATTATCTCAACCTCTATTTATTTATTTATTTGGTTGGTTTTTCAAGACAGGGTTTCTCTGCATAGCTTTAGATGTCCTGGAACTCACTCTGTAGACCAGGCTGGCCTTGAACTCACAGAGATCCGCCTGGCTCTGCCTCCTGAGTGCTGGGATTAAAGACATGCACCACCACCACCTGGCTATTTCAACCTTTGGGTGACTTGGCCTCATCATGAAAAATAAATAAAAGCATATCTGTGGGTATGAAAAACATACTAAGTAGGCTTAAAAGATAGACTCAATCTTTTCTTATCTTCTTTTCCATGGGATGAAGGCATTACAGTTAATTCCCCCTAATATTTGCCACTGACACTCTCTCTGTGTGGTTTTCCTAACCTAGCTCTAGGAATTTAAAGGAGCACCTAATAAAACACATGTTTTCTTTTCTTTCTTTTTTTATTAATAAGCAAAATAATTAAAAACAAAAATATAACAACCTTAAATGCAGAGTAGCAGTTAAACCAAACTGCTGCTGGAATTCAAGGATGTACCAAGGTACACGCTTCCTCACTGTGAGGCACATGGCTGTGTGTGTGTGTGTGTGTGTGTGTGTGTGTGTGTATAAAAAACCAAGAAGAATTTGAGAAATGGAAACCACTATGGGGCAGAAAGCATGAACTTTTCATTATGCAATCCCAAAACGCTCTGCTCTTTTCCTTTTCTTTGCCTGTAATGAAAAAGCAAGAAAAAAAAATTAGATCGCAAGACAATAGCAGATTAAGTTCCTGGCAGCTTTAATCCAAACCCACATTAACTGTCAAAAAGGCCCAAGACGGATTGTAGTAGACTATTTTAAGGTGTGTTACTTCTGTTCATGTTGCAGTTGTTTAGCTCTGTGAAGCTGTGTTACTGTGCCTGTCTAACACACCTGATGGTGTAATAAAGAAGTGGCCATTAGCAAAGCAGGGAAGGACAGGCGGGGCTGCAGGCAGAGAGAGTACACAGAGGGAGAAATCTGGGAGGAGAAATGGAGGAGGACATCAGGGGCCAGCCACCCAGCTATACAACCAGCAAGCCACAGAGCAAGAGCAAGATTTACGGGAGTAAGAGAAACTAAGCCAAGCCAAGTCTGGACATTCTTAAGCCTGTGTGATTTATTTGGGAGCTGGGTGGCAGGCCCCCCAAAAGAGCAAGAACCCTCAACATGAGGTAACCACTGACTTCAAGCCAGAGACTTTGTTCCTGAATCCTTCCAGCTACCCAGCCAGAAGTGGGGAGGTTTAGAGAAAGAGGAAGGGTGAGAAACGAAGGCAAAAGGCATCCATACACATAACACAAAAATAAAGGTTAAACAGAGTGAGAGGTGGAAAAAAGATTAAGTGAGAATGGGGGAAGGAAAGAGTGGCAGGAAATGGGAAGACGTGAGATTTCAGGAGGACAATGGGTTAAATAATACTATCCACAGAGCAGTTGGAATAAGGCAGTAGCTATGCCTTAGGCCTCTAGTCCACAGGGAAGTTGATTCTTCAATGCCGAGAGAGTAAGTTGGAGAAGAAAGGTTGTTTGCAAGAAAGTCCTTATTATGGATCCCTCCCTCCCTCCCTCCCTCTCTCTCTCTCTCTCTTTTTCTCCTTTTTTTCTTTCTTTTTTCTTTTTGGTTTTTCAAGACAGAGTTTCTCTGTGTAACAGCTCTGGCTGTCCCGGAACTCACTTTGTAGACCAGGCTGGCCTTGGACTCAGAGATCCACTTGCCTCTGTCTTCTTAGTGCTGGGATTAAAGATGTGCACCACCACTACTGGTAACCTCAAACACGTGACCCTTTTGCCTCTGCCTCCTTCAGCAAATCCTACCAGCGTGCTCCAACACAACCAGTTTTTGTTGTTGTTGTTTTGTTTTGTTTTTTTGTGAGACAGGGTTTCTCTGTGTAGTTTTGGACTCTGTCCTGAACCTCGCTCTGTAGAATAGGCTGGCCTTGAACTCACAGAGATCCGCCTGGCTCTGCCTCCCAAGTGCTGGGATTAAAGGTTTGCGCCACCAATGCCTGGCTTGTTTTTGTTTTCAACCAAGACTTTCCCCTCATGTCTGAACATTTATTCTTTAGCAGATTCCATCTTGTAAAGTGGTGCTGTTATGTCTCTAAGCATAACATAACATAAATAACTGATAGCCTAGCTACTTTTAGATACCTATTTAATTACCAGGGTCATATGGTGAGTACAATGTTATGTATATTATGCATCTCTTAAAGAAGGCACAAACCAGCTGTAAGTACCTCAGGAAAAAGCACTTGTGTCCCTTATCTTCTTTTCAACTACTGCCCCATAACAAAGGGAAGTTTTCCGTAATCAATTCACATTGCAGGTTTGATGTCGTCTTTTTTGTTTTTGTTTTTGTTTTTAATTTATTTATTATGTATACAGAAGAGGGCGCCAGATCTCATTACAGGTGGTTGTGAGCCACCATGTGGTTGCTGGGAATTGAACTCAGGACCTCTGGAAGAACAGTCGGGCTCTTAACCTCTGAGCCATCTCTCCAGTCCTTGTTTTGTTTTTTTAAGCAGAATATACTCCAAGCCCATTTCACTTGGACTAATGACACAAACTCCTCTGGTCCACAGAAACTGCCTGAGCTTCAGAGCTACTCCTTCCTTATAGACAATGATTCCAACCAAAGCCTCTGCTCCTACTACCCTCTTTAACCTGGAGAAGCCAATGTATGCACTTAGTCAAATACCTAACAACAGCTTCCATGTAAGAAGGAAATAGTTCTACCAGAACTGAAGCAAGCTCATCTTGTTAATCAGTAAGTAAGCAGATACTTACTACAGATAATATTTTATTTTAGTGGAACAAAGTCTACAGATTCCTTTAGGTTTTTTCCTAATGAAGAACATAAATTTATTTGACTATAATTTTTTAAACTTATTTATTTTATGCGTTATTTATTTTATGTACATGCTGGGGATCAGACACAGGTCCTCTGCAAGAGCAACAAGTGCTCTTAACTGCTAAGCCATCTCTCCAGCCCTTGATCTATAATTTTCATGGCATATATACTTATTTATAAAGAAACTTTAGGGAATAGCAAGATAGTTCAGTTGGTAAAATGCTTATTGCACAAATAACCATCAGAACCCACATGAAAGCTAAGCAGTGGCTCATGCCCATAACCCTATCACTGGGTGAGGGAAGACACATGCCCACAGCCTAACACTGGGTGAGGAAAGACACATGCCCATAACCCTATCACTGGGTAAGGGGAAGGAAGACACATGCCCACACCCTATCACTGGGTGAGGAAAGACACATGCCCATAACCCTATCCCTGGGCGAGGAGAAGATAGGCAGATTTCTGGAGCTCAGTGACCAGGCAACCTAACCCATTGGTAAGCTCCAGGTTCAGTGAGAAACCATCTCAAAAAACAGAGGAAAGCTGGGTGGTGGTGGTCCATACCTTTTATCCCAGAGAGGCAGAGGCAGGCAGATCTCTGTGAGTTCAAGGTCAGCCCGGTTTACAGAGCAAGTTTCAGGACAGCCAGAGCTACACAAAGAAACCCTATCTCAGAAAAAAACAAAAAACCAAAAAATAAAAAAAAATTTAAAAATTCTAGAAGGATGAAGGAAACAAGTGGGAGTGTTAGCCAAGCAAGTCGGACACCCTGGGTTCAATCTCCAGAACAGGCACAGCCGGCGGTCTGGAGTAAGCTGGAGATCAAGAACGACTCCCCAGAGTTGTCCTCTGACCTCCACAGAAGCCTTGACATGTGAGGGCGTGTGCATGCATGTTTGCACACAATCCTGGTGGGGTTTTTGTTTGTTTGATTGTATTATTAGCTCTATGAAGCATTCTAAATATAGTTTACCTCTGTATCCTCAGTAGTTCCAGTTCCAGCTGAATTTGTCACAATCCCAAATCTCTCCTTCCTTTTTTTCAGCTTCTCATCATCCTCAGACTGTCAACAGATTGAAACAAGTTAGTCTCAATTTACAAAGTTTATAGGAATAAAACTAATTTATTGGTTACAATATGCAAGTCAACCTTATATCTCAAGAACCAAAAATCACATAAATTGAAAGACAGATAAGAAAATAAACACCCAGCCGGGCAGTGGTGGCAAACGCCTTTAATCCCAGAACTTGGGAGGCAGAGGCAGGCAGATCTCTGTGAGTTTGAAGCCAGCCTGGTCTACAGAGTAAGTTCCAGGACAGCCAGGATGGTTACACAGAGAAACCCTATCTCAAAAAAATAAATAAAAAAAATAAAATAAAATAAACACCCTAGTGTTATAGCTTAGTCTCAATTTGACCCCAAGGACTCATGTGTTCTAAGTCTGGGGACTACCTAGTGTGACAATAGTGGGAACGGGAGATCTTTAAGAGGCTGGGCATTAAAAGTCCTTGGCTAAGTCATGGGTAGTATTACTTCAGAAAGGATTAAGGTTGTTCTTGTAGAAGTCCGAGTGGATTCTTGTGAAAACAAATTATTCTAACAAATCTAACCTCTGCATCATGTTTGGACTTCTTGTTTGGAAATGTGATCTTTTCATCCTGCAACATTCCTGCCATCATGTAAGGCAACCAGGGAGATGGGGGACCCTTGCTGTTTGGGCTTTCAGCCTCTAAAACTGTGAGCTAAGCAAGTTTCATTACCAAGTTACTCAGCCTCAAGTGTTTTCTTATAGTATTAAGAGATGAATACAGTTAACATATAACGTGTTATACCGAGAATAACTGAAACTTTTATGTTAAGTAGGGTCTCAAAACTCCTAAGTAGAGCCGGGCAATGGTGGCACATGCCTTTAATCCCAGCACTCAGAAGGCAGAGCCAGGCGGATCTCTGTGAGTTCGAGGCCAGCCTGGTCTACAAAGCGAGTTCCAGGAAAGGTGCAAAGCTACACAGAGAAACCCTGTCTCGAAAAAAAAACCAAAAAAAAACCAAGAAGATATCTGAACTACTTGTCCACTACTCACAAGTTCCAATATATATGGCAAGCAAGGAAGGAAAGAACAGGGCCAGAATTATATTTCAGAAATTTGCTAAGACAATCAAGGGTTTGACTGAACTATCCAGTAAGTCACAGAAAACTCTAGACAATATATAACTAACATAATCCCTGAGTATATGTCTGTCATCACATGTATGCCTAGTGACCAGAGTCCTGCAGAGGGTGTTGGATTCCCTGGAACCAGAGCTACAGTTGGCTGTGAACCACCATGCAGGGCTGAACCACTCCTCTGGACAAGCAGCCAGTGCTCTTGATTGCTGAACAATTTCTTCAGCACCCAAAAAAGTTTTAAAATAAGACAGGTGACAACAACAGCCATCTACCAGAGTGGCTCTGGATATTTTCCAAGCAGCTGAGATTCATGTCTGCCCAGTAACTGGGGAGAGTATTTCAGCTTACTATGAGTGGGAGTTGGTCATTCTCTTAAAGTTTTTTAAAGATCCAGGCTGCAGCTGAGTAGGGTGTCGCACGCACACCTGTAATCACAGTAGCTGGGGGAGTGTGCTAAGATTCAATGACTGGTGATTGGGTGTAACTAGAAAAGACAGTAAAAGAGGAAATACAAAACAGATAAATAACTAAGTTATTTATAACTCCATAAACAATACTGGAGAAAGCAGAAAGTCTGGCTTTTTGGTTTGTTTGCTTTGAGTCAGGTTTCTCTGTGTAGCCCTGCTATCCTGGAACTCCCTATGTAGACCTGGCTCCTTCTCACTCAGAGATTCCCCTCCTGGAATCAAAGGCATGGGCCACCATGCCAGGCTTTTTGTTTTCATTTTTGAATTGCATTCCTGTGAGGTTCTTCTAGGTTAGATTTTTTTTTGTTTAAATTTTGATTTTTGTTTGTTTAAATCCCAAGAATTTATATCCCATAGGCCACACTACGTCTCTGAGTATTCCAAAACCAGGGGCCAAACCAAAGATAATCAAGAGAAGTACAGAAACACAAGAAATTGCCTTTGGCTTGGGAGGAAGAGGCAGGGAGATCTCTGAGTTAGAGGTCAGCCTGATCTACAGAGTAAACTTCAGGACAGCCTGGGCTACACAGAGAAACCCTGCCTCAAACCGAAATAAATAAATAAAATGAATAAAAAAATTTCAATTTTCAATTCCACACTGAGAGAGCACCTAAACAAGCTCACAACACAATACACCACAGGTGAAACGGCCATTATTGCGAGCACAAGCCTGCGGGCCACGCACCTTACAAATTCCATCACAAAACTCATGTGCATCTGGAATATGGTGAGCCAGCATTTTAATTATTATATTGTTGTTATTATTATGTGAATATGATAGGGGACACCTGAGGAGGTCAGAGGTCACCTTTGTAAAGTCAGTTCTCTTCCATTGTCCATGGGTTCTGGGAGTGGAGTTGAGATCATGAGGTTCGCACAGCAGGTGTCCTTACCTACTGAAGCCTCTCTCCAGCCCAGTGGGTTTTTTGAAAAGGTCTTGTGTAGCCTAGGCTGGTACTGAACTCCCTAAGTTCCTTAGGATGACCTTGAACTACAAGATCCTCCTCCCATGTTGGGGGTGGGGGGCAGCCCATTCTGTAGTTTTAATTCTGATTCAGAGTCTGAATTCACCTTTTAAGCTGAAAGGTGAGAGAAGAATGAGCCAGGAAAAGGTCCTGACAAATTATCTGACTCCATACGAGCTTCTTTTTTTTTTTTTTTTTTTTTTTTTTTGGTTTTTCGAGACAGGGTTTCTCTGTGTAGCTTTGCGCCTTTCCTGGGACTCACTTGGTAGCCCAGGCTGGCCTCGAACTCACAGAGATCCACCTGCCTCTGCCTCCCGAGTACGAGCTTCTTTTTTATTCAGATCTGAGGACTTAAGAGTTTAGGTAAAGCCCAGATATATCTTCCTCAGTCCAACAAAAACCCTGCCTGCCTTCCCTCCCCAACTCAAAACCCTCAGCTCTTTTCTAGTGCTCCTCCTCCTCCTCCTCGCCCTGCAGGAAAAGCAACCAACAGTGCCAGTGAATCACACAGTTCTGACGATCTCCCCAACCTGACCCTCGCAGCACTGACACTATCTCATAGAAACAAATACACAATCAACGTCACACCATCCTGACAGGCAGGTTCTGATTCATGGGTTAGCCAGACCCATCTGAGAAAATGACCACAATCAAAGGACATCTCTCTCTGCATTCATCAGGCCAATGTTCCCGAGGCCATGCTCAAGCACATAAATGAGTTCACTCATCTGCAGTTAGCAGAGACCTAGTGCAGTTTGTACTTGTCAACCTTTCCCTTCATCAAATAGTCCCTCAATCCTTCAACTCCAAACACATTTTCTTTTCTCATGAATACTCCTGTTCAAGAAATAAATGTTTCTATCTGAAATGCTTTATTTCCCCATCAAATGTAAATTCAAAACACACAACTTACATCCAGGACTAAATAGAGAGCCTTTGTCTCAAATATAAGCAAAACAAACAAAAACCTCATTTATAAAGTAAGAATTGTGCACACAGATGAAAAGAACAGGGGATGGCAAGATAGCTCAGCAGGTAAAGACCCTTGCTGTCGCCTGACACCCTGAGTTCATCTCTGGTACCCACCTAGTAGAGGGAGAAAAACAACACACAGAAGAAAAATGAACATCTCCCGGTGGTGGTGGTGGTGGTGGTGGTGGTGGTGGTGGTGGTGGTGGTGGTGGTGGTGGTGGTGGTGGTGGTGGTGCACACCTTTAATCCCAGTACTCAGGAGGCAGAGAGGGGGGATGTCTTAAGTTCAAAGCCAGCCTCATCTACAGAGCAAGTTCCAGAACAGCCAAGGCTACACAGAGAATCTCTGCCTCAAAAAACCAAAGAGAAAAAAAGAAAAATGAACAGAATAACAAAAACAGGATAGGCTGGATGTGGTAGCTCATGCCTATAACCCTAGCACTCAGTACAGTGAAGTCATCACAAGTTTAAAATCAGCCTGGACTACAAAATGAGACTATTCCCCCCACCCACCCCCAAAAAAGGACAAGGAGAAAAAGACAAAAAGAGGAAGAAGGCCGGGTGGTGGTGGTGGCGCACGCCTTTAATCCCAGCACTCGGGAGGCAGAGGCAGGCGGATCTCTGTGAGTTCGAGGCCAACCTAGTCTACAGAGTGAGATCCAGGACAGGCACCAAAGCTACACAGAGAAACCCTATCTCAAAAAAACCAAAAAAAAAAAAAAAGAGGAAGAAGACAGAACAGAACAGAAGCATAAAATATACTTGACAAGCTTTCATTTCAACATTTATTTATTTGTTTATTTTTTGTTTGTTTTTTGTTTTTTTTTTTTTTGAGACAAGGTTTCTTTGTGTAGCCTTGGCTGTCCTGAACTAGCTCTGTCAATCAGGCTGACCTCGAACTCAGAGATCCACCTGCCTCTGCCTCCCGAGTACTGGGATTAAAGGTGTATGCCACCACTGCCAGCCTGCTAAACATTTATTTTTATTTTTAAATTGTGTGTGAGTATGTGTACATGCCTGAGGAGGCCAGAATAGGGTGTCAAATCCCCTAGAGCTGCCCACATGGGTTTTGGGAACAAACTCAGGTCCTCTACTACAGCAGTATATGCTCTCCAGTCCCCATCACTGCATTTCCCACTAGAAAGACAGTGCAAACCTGGCCCTTTAGAAGGCACTCTTAACTTTTCCAAGCTGACTTCTCTCCTTATTCCCTTTTATATTTGCCAAGTCCTCAAGGAATATGAACAAAAAGACCCATTGAAAGAATGACTAAGACATTCAAGAACTTCTAAGATATGAATCACATGAACAAAAGTGCTTACCTTGCCAGATGGCCTTTAACCCCAGTGCTCGGGAGGCAGAGCCAGGCGGATCTCTGTGAGTTCAAGGCCAGCCTGGTCTACAGAGTGAGTTCCAGGACAGCCAGGGCTACACAGAGAAACCCTGCCTCAAAAAAAAGTGTTTGCCATACATAGTAACTATCCTGAGGTAG